CTTCCAAGGAATTGCAAACAGCCAAGGAAATGGAATCGGTGACACAGTATTCAGTCATGCAGCACATAAGGGTCCGCAATAGACTGCAGAGGATCATGTGGCACTGAAGAATTCCTACCACCTGGAGACATCAGCGTGGTGATGAGGTCATGGTAGAAGCCATCACTCATGTGATTGTGATGCTGCTATCAACAAGCTTGCTGTGCTGCCAGTTGCATAAAACTATAGCACATTACAATTATGTACACACCGAATGCATGATGACGATGATAAATGACCATACTGCAAATTTACATATTTACTATACTGTAGTTTTATATTTATTTTAGAGTGCACTCCTACATATTAAAAAAAAAAATTTACTATAGAACATTCTGCTGTACTATGCTGGCAGCCACTTCCTGCATCTCATATTCTCATCATTTTCTCTTGTACTTGATTTTGTTTCATGTTCTGTTCATCCTCCCACCAAAGCTACAAAATCTAATGTTTTGTCAGTAAGAGGCCACGTGGAGTGACTGACCTGGAAACGAAATGAAAAGTGATTGAAGACTGCGAAGGTGGAAAATCAGTGACGGCTACCATTTTCCAGTCAGGTACGTCCCGTTCCACCATAGCTGTGATCTTGAACAAGAACGAAGTGATAGAAGCTGCTAAAGGATCTGCTTCGTTGAAGGCAATAAAACAAACAAAAATTTGAGAAGGGCCTGTATCAGGTGTGGAGAAACTTTCAATGACCTGGACTCAAGACAAAGACAGAAGCGTGGTCCCGCTCTGCATCACGATGATCACATCTGAAGCAGAACATTTGTTTGCAATATTGAAAGAAAGGGCTGGATTCCATTAACTCTGGGTGGTTCAAATAATTCAAGAATCGGTGTCCATTTCATGAAGTGAAAGCAAGTGGTGGTGACTCTGTGAGTGCTGACGGGAAGGCAGCTAGAGAATTTTTGGAAACTACATGAGCTGATAGTGGAGTAAAACTACTCACCGGAGCAAATCTTCAATATAGATGAACCTTCATATTCTGGAAACATATGCCTAAAAGGACTTTCATCTATAAAGAGGCCCGGTCAAGGCCAGGTTTCCAGGATTTTAATGGCAGGATAACAGTCTTTCTTGGGGGCAACATTGCAGGCTCCATATTGAAACCCTTCATGATCTGGCATGGTAATATCAGTATGCATACCCTGCCAGTATGCTACAGGGGCAACGAGGGGTCATGACCCAGCTCCTCTTCCAAAGAGTACATTGCTTTTTTTTTTTTTTTTTTTTAATTACTGGTGCTGCTCTGTTGAAAATTTTGGTCATAATGCTTAAACAACTTTTCAATTCCTGGCAAAAGCAGAACATTGCCTTTGCCCAGGAGATCACTCCACACTGGCTTTTCAAACATTCAAACACATAACTAGCTGCTTACCACAGAATAAATTAGGGTGTTTATTGCCAAAGAAATTGAGAAATGATATTCTGTACCTTTAAAACCCATATTGAATGACCTGTTAATTGGGGAACACTAAAAATCACCCTCTGGGGCTGGGGTTATAGCTCAGTGATACAGCACTTGTCTAGCACGTGAGGCACTCACTGAGTTCAATTCCCAGCACCGCATAAAAGTAAATAAATAAAGGTATGTGTCCATCGACAACTAAAAATTAATAATTAAAAAAACCCACCCTCTGGCAGACATAACATTATCAGGTTCTCTCTGTGTCCTGTTTTCCATCTAGAATAGCAAATGGCTATAACAAGCAGGCAGCAGAAAACAAACATCTGCTACACAAGCACATATCAGCTAGCTTTTGCTGTATAACACACTACCCCAAAACTTGGTAGCTTAAAGTGATTACCATTTTATTTGCCGATGTAGGGGAGAAAAGGTAGTACCTTTTCCTCGCCCTTCACAAGGTGCTTAGCTAAGACCCCATATCAAAAGACAGATTAACAAGAGGAAACCATATTTTTAAACCATGATTATTTAACCAAAGTTAAATAAGACCATAAATGAAGATCCAAAGAACCAGAGAAAACTACATTTTTATGAACAGACACACAGAAGCTTGATCCGAGGGGAAGTGTGATGGTAATAAACTGGGGGCACTTAGCAAAACTTACTTGTTCAGACTCTTCAAAGCATTATTCAAAAGAATGAAAAATTAGAAACTATCTTAAGTGCCCCATTAGAGGAGGTTAATCAAGTCCATATGATGCAATATAACAACAACCGTTTTTTTTAAATTCATTAAAGAAAAGGACATTTACTGAGATCAGAAATTATTTTGGCTGTTTATAATAATATTTCAAGAAAGCAGCCTATAAGACATGTAGTAGTTTTGTTAGTCATTATACATATGAAGATACCTGAAGATCATTATACATATGAAGATACATGTAAGGGGAAAAAAAAGACTAAATTAATAGTAATGATACTGCTGGTTACCAGAGATGAGTTCTGCTCCCTACAAGTTGAAGTAGAACATTAGAGAAGCACACAGAGGCAAGCATATAAAGCAGGGTTAATTTAAAAGGGGTAACATAGACTTCTCCCTGGAAGGAGAAGGGGGCCATAGCTGGTATCCCAAGAAGCGAGGGTATTCTGCCTTTTTATATGTCCTGGGCTTCCTTTGTTCTCCTGCTCTTTTCTCCTTCTCTCTCTCCTTCCTGAATACGTGACTAGGCCCAGGAGATGCTGTGGGATGGCCAAAAGGTGAGAAGCAAATGGGCCGGAGGGGCCAAGTTGGAGTGCTCTGGACTAGAAGGGGGCATAGTTAACAAATCCCTGCAGGGAGGGACAATCCCTGAGACAGTTTACCTTAGCAATAAATTGAAGCAGGGGCAGGTTATCTTGATAACCTGAAGGCATTAGGCATTTCAATTCCTCTCCAACTTCCAGATTTACTCAAATTGGCCTTCTTAATCCATCTAATTTGATTTACCTATCTATACTGACTGCCTGTCTATTGCTGGCTTCAATAATAGTGATCTAGTTTGCCAAACCCCCCTGTGAACCTGAACTGGAACTTTACCTATTTTATAAATAACATTTCAATGAAACATAAAAAAAAAATAAAAATAAAAAAAATAATAGTGATCTAGAGTATAACACCATGGACCCTGAAGTAAGACAGACCTGATCCTGAATAGCTAGGCAAGTATTCCATTCTGAGTCTCAGTTTTCTCAACTGTAAATGAGAGCAAGAAGACCTTCATGCGGTGGCTGTGCTAATTAGATAACACAGTGCAGTAGAACATTGCTTGACGAATGATTGTTAGGATTGCTCCGGTCTGTTAAGTAAAGAGTAATTTTTCTTTCTTTCTGTCCCCCCGCCCCCCGCTTTTCATGGCACAATTACTTTTCATTAATAACAAAAATAAAAAAAGTAGAAAAAACATTTCTTGAAACTATTGGCCCCTGGGATTTGGTTTAAAGGTCCAATGAACCCCATATAGATGGAACTGACATGAAGCCAGCGTCCTAACCCTGATTTCCACAAAGGGCAGGTTCTGTACTCAGAAAGAAGTTGGAGCAACAGCACCCTGCATTGTGAAGCTGCCAGCCGGGAGGTGCCCCTGGTACCCTGGGAAGAGTGTTCATGTGGGACATTTGCTTAACACATACCTGTATAGTACCAGAGTACCACCCATAATAACTGGGATGCCAACCTGCATCAGGCCATTTTACTTCACTGTGGGTATTTTCTGTGCCTACAACCCACGAACTTCAACAAGTGGTCACAATACTGTGTCCTCCAACTTTCAGTAAGTTTCATTAACAACTTTGCCATTCCCAGGATATGATGTGTAAGGGTGGAAAGATTCCTCATTCATTGCTAGGTTTGTGACTGAAGCTACTGGAACCAAAAAAGAAGAAAAAGAAGGAGGAGGAGGAGGAGGAGGAGGAGGAGGAGGAGGAGCAAGAAGAAAGTTAGCAAGGAAAAAGCACCCACGTTTATTTAATATAAGATTTATGTGAACATGGGAGCCTTCAGAAATGAAGACCCAAAGAAATCAGAGAAACTGTTTTTCTGTTGGGTTTGGTGAAGAGTGAATGGTCATGGAGAAGTATGATTGGACAAAGGAGATGTGTGAGCTAGTGGGAATAAACGGAGGGTGGGGGGCACTTGACCAACAAGACCTGTTTGTTCAGATTCTTCCATGTCTCTGTATCTTCAAGATAAGGACAGCCCTTTCCTCCTGAGATAAGGTTGGTTCCTCTGGAATTTTATCTCCTTCTTTAGGGGAAGGTTTGCTGGGTTCCCTAGCCTGCTCCAGTGGTAAAGTTTTTGCAAATGTCAGAGTGTCACTGAAAGGAGTGCCTACCCTTTCCCCTCTGTGGGAGCCACATTTTCTTACTAAGCCTCCACCTATGCTTCTTGCAATTCTCCCTGTTGCTGGGAATCCCCAGTGTTTCTGCTCGCCCTTCACCTCCATTCTCACCCATCTTCTCACTGGTTCTATCTACCTTCCCAGAACAATGAGCTCCTCATATAGTACTCCTTGCTCCATTGTTCAAGCCAGGATCTCTTGTTTGCATAAGCTGAAAGCATGTGTGTTCTGCAAATAATAATAAAAAGAAAATCTTCCCTTAAACAAGTTCCCGAATGTTCCCATGACTCAATCTTTAACTATTACTATAATCTAAGAATCTTATAGTTTAGGGAAACAAAAGATTAACCCAGCTTCATCCTTCAGTGGGGAGAGTCACAGCAAGCCAAATGAGTAACAAAGCTCCAAGTTCAGGCCAAGTCTACCTATTCATAAGCGGCTCACATGACAAAGGCTTTGTTGGTGGAAAAGGAGGGAGGGGAACCAAGGGACAGTTTCCCTTTATAGTGAAAATAAGAGAACCATCTGCAGACAAAGGAAGGAGGAAGAAAATACCAAGCATGTTTTTGAAAACATGAATTTACAATACCAATTCAGTTTTTCAGAGAAACAGTGGCCTTGGAGACAGGATTCTATTATTCTGCCAGGAAGGAGGAGGTCAGCACGTAGAAAGGAGTGGGACACACCACAGCCTGCAGTGTGGGGTAAGTGTGTTTCTCCACAGGCACAATTTCCATTCCAGGACTCTCTGGGATTTGGACCACAGATCCACAGACTGCAACAGAAACCTGATATGTGTGCCTGAGACACCCAAGGATCTGGGTGTTCTTGAGTTTCGGTGTTTGGAAAGGGATCAAGAAGGCAAGCACCCTTGGGCAGAAATATGGGGGACATATAGCTTTAGAAGAAAAAGGAGAGCCATGTCTTCAGTGTTTTGTCTAGCAGGATCCTGCCTTACCCCTCTATAATCCAGTTATCAAAACTGAAATTCACATTTGAATGAAACCACAATGCAACATTCTATTTTAAAAAGGAACTAGGAGAAAAACAATCAAATCACAATTTAATTTGGAGGATATATACTGACAGCTGGTATTCATCACCTTTGATAACCGGAGGTCCAATAGAAGGAAGGTTCTGAACAAAGTAGCATCTTCAAATGTTGCATACTGAAGGGTTGGGATAGAAGAAAACAGTACTTCAGATGTGAGTTTAACTGTGGATGTGGTTACAGCGTGGATAAGGTGCTGCTAACATAAGATTCCATTAACCTGAACAGGACCAGTGGATGAAGGGAACTATACTGGGCAGGGTTGTCAAGTAAGTAAAACTCCTGGTTGCTATAACCTTCACTTTGTCCTTTTGCCTCTGGACCACCCAGGTTGCCTGAGGTTCTCTTCACCTTTCAGTTACAACAACCTGCTCACAGGAGGAGACCTGGCATTTCTTATTTATAGCTTTTTTTCATGTGGATTTCAGTCCATGTGAATTTCTCTGAGGATCATATTTAAGTCTTGCTTTGACTTGTGAATTCTTGTTTTTGTTGTTGTTCTTTTGCAGAAAAAAAAAAAAAGCACATGCCCCCCCATTTAATTTAAAGGGTGAAAGTAGTATTTAGATTCCATCTAGACAAGTCCTTTCATATGCTCACTCCAGCTAATAAAAAACTATAGTTTTTGAAAAAGGAACACAGAGCCTGGGGAATACAGCATTGTATCTGTATTTTATATAGGCATATAAAATATATCTGAGGAATTTAGCATTAAACTAGCATACAAGGAAATAGAAATTTTTTTAAATATCGGTGGAGTTTTGCCTGCCTGTGTGACTAAAACAGGGGAGGTCTGGCAGGCTCAAAGGAGGGTGAGCTCTGCCTAGTTCCCTCAATTCCTTCAGCCTCAACACTTTCCATTGCAACTGAAGGGCCATGCCAGGTCCCCTCTGACCAGCTCTGAAACAGTCCACCTCTTTCCTGTCCTCAGGAGTCTCGGTACCAGACACCATGTCAGTATGCTGTCATTAATATACCTCATAATACAAATTAGGAAGCATGAATAATTCCAAAACTTTGTTTCATTAAATTGTTTTGATCTCCTTGCTCACCAATGTTTAAAAACATAAAATAAAATCATTAGAGACTGATTGCTCCAACTTACTCTGTTAGGAGGACAGGAATACTATATAGTCAAAAGCATGCTAACAGGGAGGAAAACACCTCAATCAAGAACAATAATCATAATTTAAAAATTAAATTATTAACACAATATACCAGGCAGATTACACAATGCTTTCTTGTCACATTATTTCAGCTATATAGTATTTGGTCCCAGGGAAGAGAATAGTACCAGTCTTTTTTTTTTTTTAAAGGTTCTTGCTATAAGCAGCAATATTTAATTTATCAAGAATACTCTGGTTCTTTTGGAAACACGTGACCTACAGCTTCTTGGCTTCCCTCATCCATTGAGAAGAGACTTAGTCATCCATCAGCGTCACAATGGGTGTGACTCACAGAGAGAACTGGGACTCCTCACACACATGTAGGTGCTCTATTTCAACRGAAGCCCAGGCACCTCAGGAGGATCAGCTTGGTCAGGGTGCACTTCCTTCCTTGTGCACAGCAGGAAGATTGCAGTCGCCTGAGCAAGTCACCAACAACGTCTGCCTCCAGATTCAACCGCAGTAAGGTAACTGGTGATGAGTTTTGTTGTTAATTGCTGCATCTATCAAGTCTTTAACTTTCCTTTGAATGAATCAAGTTGTCTCTCAGGCTGTGGTCAAGTGTTGCTGTTTTTCTCTAATACAGCATATTAGAAGGCAATGACAGGAGCCAAGCCCATCTCTCAGAAATGGTCTTAGTGGGCCACAGGATCCCACCTTAAACTCCAGGCCTCTCTTCAGATGTCCTTTAGTACCCTCAACTCAAAATTAAATTTACCTCTTGTTATTCTCTGTGTGCCTATTTTAGACCTACTGTGAATCTTATGATTAATTGGAAACTGGAGAGAGAAGGACTCCAAAAAGCATATGAATCTTAGATGAATTTCTTACTGAAGAAATAGATTTGCTACCAACTGCAGGTCTCATCTGTTGATCCACTTGCTTTACCAATACTATCAAATGTCAGTTTACTTGAACACACACACTCTCTCTTTGCTGAATGAACAAAATAATTGGAAATAAACAAGGAAATTCCTGACAGTACACAGTTGCTCCCTGGATCCTGGGATGACATTATGACATTAAAAGACCTGCACAGATATGTACTCTCTATTTTATGAACCAGTGGTATGGCTCTCTTTTTCAATTATTTGATATTTGGCAGTGGAGACAAAGTTTAAATAGAATACATTCAATTTAGAGTTGTACAAATAACTCTAAAATGTCCCACTACACTATTAGCCCAAGGGCAGAGACTGTGCTTTTTATCTTGGTATTCCTTGTCATATCCATTAGATATTCTAAAAATATTCTTGGCTTGATGCTGCAGTAGATGAAAGTTAAATGTTGTATCGGATATGTTGAGATTTGAAAAGGGTGTCCAATTTTAAAAACAAATCTCAATGTTTAAATACAAGGGAAAAAAAAAACTTGCCTCATACATTTCAAATGAGGAAAATGGGAATTGGTTTTGAAATCCTTACAACAAATGTTACTTTCTTAAGGGACAGTGTGAAAAAACTCTACCCTTTTCTTTCACTCAAAGATAAATGTAGCTAAAAGAAATATCCTGAATGGTTGAAGACTCTCCCTGCATCTTTACATACATCTTCTCTGTAGTCTAAACTTTGAAAGTTTCTTTGACAAGTTATAATACTACACAATATATAATCCATTCCAGTTTGCAGTTATTAAATTCAGTGTCTATAAATAAAGTACCTATGATTTTAACAATAATGTTTATCCTGCATGTACTGTTAGAAAGCACATTAGCAAAATAAAACTAGCAAGTATTAAGGATAATTAATCAATTCATAATTAATCAATAATTATAGGGATTATGGCAAATTGAGAAATTGAGAAAAGGAAAAGAAAATCAGAGACACTTTAATCCTTAGAACTAAAAACGCAAATAGAACCCCAGCAGGTCTTCCCAACCTGGGAGCAGGCTGGAGGAATAACAGCTGAACTCCTAGGAGGTCTGTGAATGAATCTGCAGAGGAAGTAAATAGACAAGCATGCTCCTCCACGTCACTGTCCCACTACTCAAAGCACAGACCAAGTAGGAGGCCTGCCTCCGTCCTCAGGGGAATCAGGACTCAGAAGAACGTAACTGCCTTGAGAGCAGAGACTTCACCCATGGAGAGAGGGAATTTCACCAGCATCATCCACGTTGCTATTTACTTTAATCAGATCCTCAAAAGCACATTTGCTGCAGGGCACAGTGGTGCATGCCTGAAATCCCAGTGGTTGAAGAGACTGAGACAGGAAGATCTCAAGTTCAAGGCTTCCAAAGTGAGACACTTAGCAAGACCCTGTCCAAAAAAAAAAAAAAAAAAAAAGAATGAAAAGGTCTGGGGATGTGGCTTAGTGGTTAAAAGAAAACCTGGGTTCAAGCTGGGGTTGGGGTTCAGCAGTAGAGCACTTGCCATGTATGAGGCACTGGGTTCAATCCTCAGCATCACATAAAAATAAACAAAATAAAGGTTAAAAAAAAAAAAACCCTGGGTTCAATCCCTGATACTCTTCCCCCCCCCCCGCCCCCCTCCCAAAAAAAAACATTTGCTGCTTAATGTAAGCACATTTCATGTAGGATGCCTTGACTCAAGTTTTGTTTTCAGACTTCTGGGTGCCTTATTTGAATATTCTTTTTCACAAAAACATAATTCTTTCATTATCTTTAATTATGACTTTATATATATAGTTTGTGTCATTAGGCTCCAATATATATTTTTCTTAAAGAAATGTGCAATAGAAGTCTCCAAAAGGTAACAGGAGTTTTTATTTCAATAAAAGGTAAAAGGAAGTCTGTGTAAGTTAAGGCTTATGATATTTAAATATAAAAGAAGCATACCTGTTCCTCTTCAGTGGATATAAAGAAAACCTGTGTAAGAGAATCCCCAGACAGAAACATTCCAGAAAGCTGTTGCTAAATAACTCTCTGTTTGATTTATTTTGGTAAACAATTCAGTTGTTGGTTCCCAGTTAGGCCACAATTGCAACAAATTCAAAGTAAATAAAGATTGAACAAACTCCTCAATATGACCTATTTTAGTATTGCTTTGTGAAGTTATATGGAAGTAAAATCAAGTGGTCTGGGAAGATCTATCTAGAAAGAACTCCACATTTCTTATAAAAAGTGTATCTCACAACACCACTGAAATATTAATGTCTATTTTTTAAACCACTTCTCTTACTTGTAAATTTGTAAATAAGAGAAGTGAAATCAAAGAATTTTAAGTTTTTTACTAGGAAAATAAACCCAGGAAGATAAACGTAAAAGAAGCAGAAGTAAGCAAGGACAGCAATCAAATGCAATATTTTCCTATAGCTGCTGACAGGCAGTTCCTATTTAAGCACTCTGCATAGAAATAGAAAACTAGTTCTCCTTTCTGGTTCCTTCTGCATCATTGTGGCATAGTAGATAATTTTTGATGAAATGTTTTTATTCCTCCCATAAAGTGATAAGGTTTGCAGTTCTTCTCTCTCCTAACAAGTTTAAGAGTTTCGAGATTGAAGTTTTAGTTCCAGCCATGTTAACGGGTGA